CGCAGAGGAAGATCCATTACTTCACTTTCCTTCAGATGGTGCAGCTGCTTTTTCTGTGTGCGTTTGGGATGTACCCTCTCCCGTATATGAAGATGATCTTTCCTCTGCTAATGTTTATCCTCATACCCATCAGGTGAGTACTGAAATGCCTTTAGCTCCCGTCTGTTATGTAGTGTGTGATTTGCTGTGCACGTGCATGCGTAAAATATTGCAAATATTGTGAATACTATATTTTTGGGTAGTCACAGAACATGATATTTTACAACCTAAACTTATCTTATCTGGTTAAAACAAACAAAAAACATCAGGGCCCGTATGTATAAAACTTCTCAGAAATGCTCTTAAGAATAGTCTTAAGCTTTGACTCAAGTGTCAAAAAATTCTTAGTAAAAAGTAGGACTTTTCTAAGAGTAGGAGACTTTTATAAAGAAGCTAAAAGCAGCTTTCAGTAAAGTCTAAGACTGATTCTTAAGTGTTGACTGAGGTGACACTTAAGTGTTGTGAACTAAGGACTACAATGATGTCAACACAAAATGGCCGACCTCGACCTCTGAATCAGCCAATAGTGAGCCTGCTCATGTAAAGTCACAGCAGCACAACACCAATCATTTAATGTAACTACAATAAAATCATTTAATTAAGACTGAAATATTTTAATTTAAATGTATTTTTAAATGCTTTGCATTGTGCAAAATTATCACAAATTATTACTAATGCTTTGTTTAATGGTATGTCTCCTCATTTACAGTTAGAGCAATGATGTGAACATGAGTTCAATCAGTGGCTCCAACAACTCCATGAAAGCCCACAATCCTCATAAAAGTGGCTTGTTTTTGCAATATGGTTTGGCGGTCAGTTGGAAAGTTAATTAATTGCCATATAGTAGTGGCCAAAAGTGAGGTCCAGCCTAGGAAATTTCACCCTTAATTAAAAAATAAATAAATAAATGAATGTTCAAGATTTTGTAAGCATATTGCATAGTTGCTTAGAGTCAGTTGTTTTATTTGTGACAATAATGCAATGAAACATGCCAAATTGTGCAGTCATAATTTTTGGCATGCTGTCATACAAAGAAATTATGAACACATGCAAAAACAAGAGGACCAATGAAATGTAAATAACGTATGTTGTAGTCAATGTGCCAATGTTGCCAATTTAGTGATTTTGTCACTAGATTTAGTGACTTCCGCATCCCTTTAGAGACTTTTTTCAAAAACCTAGCAACAAAATAAATTTCTTGGACAAACGTTATCTACATTCCGAGACTCTCCCATGACGTCATAAAGGGGAGTTCACCTACTTTCATTTCTGCTGTTAGAGCATTGACTTGTTGAGTGGAAGAGGTTATTACATTTTTTACTTTATCAGTTAAAGTTTTTATCAAAAAAGACTTTGTATCGTTTTATCAACTCCATATTATCATATAAGTCCAATATATTTTCACTGGAAAGTGTTTGTCGTCTCCTCTTTGCTGCCATCTTATTACTTCTAACTAGGTTAGGAGACCTCTCCAGCTCTCTTAAATAATTTAGGAGCTGAGACCTCTTTTAACACTTAGGAACCTTTATGAATCACTCTTATTCTTAAGTCTAGGAATAAGAGTAAAATTACGTCATTCTTAGAATTTTGACACACTTAAGACTAAACTTTTACTTTGAGCGGCTTTATACATACGGCCCCTGGTATTTTAAGAGACTTACTGACCTTACTGACCAGGTCAGTCATGTCCTATTTTATGTTATTAATTGTTTTTTTCCCGCATGTTGGTTGCTCCACGTGATTTTGTTTGTTGCACCACATAATTTGTTAGCAAAAAATATTTCAAATATTATTAAAAATTGAAGCACTTTTGTGATTTCCTTTTCAATAATTATATAATTAAATTTCTTAATGCATAATTATTCATTAATAAATAATTATAAAAATGTCATTAAAAATGCATTTCTTAATAAAAAAATATAAAACAAATAAAAGTCAAATATATATTTTCTTAATTATCTGTTTGTATGTAATTAACATAATTGATGTAATATTGTCTCTGTTTTAGGAACTATCTGCTGCCCAGGATCATCGAGGCTAAGTACCTGGACATTATGGATGCACAGCGCATGTAAACGCATGCACACTGAGCCTCTGAGCAAAGGACTCTGGGAATTGTATTTCTGAAATGCAAAACTCTGGGAGGAAAAACAAACTGATTCTAGTGTTTAACAGCAGACATTCTGGTGAAGCACTGAACGAGTAAGAGAGAGATTAGAAAAGAAGGGTATTTGAAGACAGAACCAGAGAGGGTGAGGATGAGATGCCTGTTCAAAACAGAGTAGAATGACAGACCGCTGTCTGACTGTTTGACTATTGACCTTGGTCAGTCACTGCTTCTCTCATGATCTAAATAGTACACCAAAGCCCCCCACCCCCCCTCTCTCTAGTCTATTCTGATGTATCCATGCATCACAAACACTTGATTTATGAGACGTAGGAAACCATGTATTCTCGACAACTGTGCCATGACTAAATTACACAAGTGTTTACTCCATCTCCGACCATAGTGTTCTCAACACAAATACAGCTGTTGAACAAGAGACTGACCTGAATCTGTAGCAATACCTCTTAATGCTGAACGTTGATGCTTACACACACACCCAGTGCAAAACTTCTCATACATCAAGTAAAAAAGCTGTCGATGGCAGATTTTCCAGCTCATTTTGGTACATATCAGTGCAAATAAGTAATAACGAAGTGAGCATGGACCAAAAGAATACACACACCTTAGGAAACTGTGTCTCATAGCAATACAGTGGATTATTAGAGGCTATCAATATTTTAGAGTTTTCTAAAGAGAGTTTTCTTTCGAGGTAATAGACTTCTAGTTTGGAGACCCACTGATGTGTAGAGAATGTATTCTAAGCGCTGGGGTTTCAGGGAAACGGAGAAAAACAAGCAGCATTTCTGCGGACCTTACTCACTGCTGAATGGACTCTGACATTTAAGCTTTGCACATCACAGGACACCACATCTGTGTACTTTCCCCAGTCACACACACAC